CTTGAACCTGGGAGACGGAGGTTGCAGTGAGCTAAGAGCGTGCCACTGCACTCCAGCCTGGGGAACAGAACGAGACTCCATCTCAAAAACAAAACAAAACAAAACAGAGATAGGGTCTAGTTTGCCCAGGCTGGTCTCAAACTTCTGGGCTCAAACTGTCTTCTTGCCTTGGCCTCCCAAAGTGTTGGGATTACAGGCAGGAGCCCCTGTGCTCCGCTAAAATATGTACTTAACAAAACAAGTAATACACCATGACATTTTCATTGCAAAAGGGCCCAGAACAATACCCAGAGAGCAGCAGGGACCTGGGCCTCCCTCTTCGCAACACAGACTGCAACCCAGAGGTGCTGCCCTCAGTATGCAGGCGAATGCGCGCTGCTGTTTATCATGAGGTAGGTGATGCCAGTTTCCTTTCCCCAGGCTCAGACCCCCCCACCCAGGCCAACATCCTTGTCCTTTTAGCTGCCATGGCACAGCCCACAGAAAGACGTATCACAGCTGATGCCATCGCACAGGCCCTTTGGTGGGCTCTAGGGTGTTCCTAATTGTTCAGCATTACAAACAATCCCACAGCAAAAGCCCTCCTAGAAGCTTCTGCACTGATGAGCGTGTGCGTTTCCCAAAGGTGAGCATGGAAAGGAGGCTCAGGAAACATTCCTTGGTTAATGGTGTAAATCGCTTTTTTGGCTTTATTATTTTTTTCATGGGTAGTTTAAGACAGTTGCTTGCTTTTGCAGCCCCAGGAACCAGCCAAGCTAAGTAGAAGAGGCGGGCAATGGGGAGCCATGGCCTAGAACCAGGCCTGGGCTCCTTGTGGCTTGGGAGCGGACCTGTGAAAGCTCCCAGATCTCACCGGTCACCACCAACTAGGAGATGGCGAAGCTCCTGCCTAATCACAGCAATTAACTGATAGGGTCTTTGTGCTGAGTAAAACCAGCTTTTGTCTAAGCATGCACCTGTATGGACTAAGCTGGGTCTAAGCCCCAGTCACATGCAGACTGGGAAGATGTCTGCTAGGTAAGTGTTGAGGGCAGGTCCACCACTGACTGACTGTGGCAGACTTGGCAACAGCAGCTGTCACCCACAGCAGTGGCAATTCCCCGCCCCGCCCCCCCCAAACTAGGACATGTTTGGCGATGTCCGGAGACATTTTAGGTTGTCACAACTAAGGACGGTGCTCCTAACACTAGTGGGTAGCTGCTAAACATCCTAGCATACACAGGAGGGTCCCACAGTAAAGAATGACCCAGCCCACAATACCAGGAATGCCAAGGTTGAGGAGCTCTGCCCCGGAGCACTGATCCGTGCCACGTGTTGGGCCTCAAGAGCTCGTTTAATCCATATAATCCTGTATGGTGGGTGGTCATTCTCATTTTCCAGATGAGGAAACCAAGGATCAGAGAGGTTAAGTAACTGACCTGAAGTCAAACAGCTTAAGAGTGGCAGAGCTCTATTCAAACTCTGAGCCCATGCCTTTAGCCAAATCTCTGCACCTGGCAGACAGGCCCAACAGTAATGCATGACAGCGTGACGACAACCAGCCTGGGCCCCGCAGTGCAGTGTTGCAGGCTTCTAACAGCACGGACCAGGTGAAGGGGCTCTGCAGGCTGTGTAAATGCAATGCTGATGCTGTCACTGGCCACATTACTGGGTGAGTCACTGGGCAAGAACTGTACTCAGGCCACACCCCCGCATCCTCAGGAGCTGCTCAGCTCCTGGTCCTAAAGAGCCTTGACTCCACCTCTCCTGTGAAGGTCTGGCCGGCACCTCCCCATGAGTGCTCCTCACCTTGCCGGCGTAGTGGATAATGCAGAAATCAGCTTTGTCCTTCAGCTGCTTGGGCTTCTGGAACTTGGGGTGGGTGCCCTGCTCCTGCATCACCTTCTCCACGAAGCTCTTGTCGGTGGCTTTGGGGAACCAGCACTCCTCGTCCAGCAGGGCCAGGATGCCCGGGGGGCCTGCCTGGAGGAAGCACAGCATCAGCACAGGTGAGCACACCCTGGGAGGGGCACCCCTTCCTTCAAGAAGCCAAAGCCCGGACATCAGAATCCGCTGAATCCCACAGAGGGTGGGCAATGTGCTCCCCAGGAGGACCACTGAATATTTCTCGTTTATAAAGAAACCTCTGAGGCCCAGGCTGCAGCGGAGACCTTTTCCCAAGGATCCATCACGGTGGTTCTCCAGCGTTAGTGAAACCCCCAGTGGGTGTGAGGAAAAGTGCAGATCCACTGACCCGCGGGGCCAGAGTCTGACTTCACCGTGTACTGGGGTCTGCCCAGGAGGCTGCCCTCAACAAGTACCCTGTGATCCTGCCACAGGAGATACCACCGCACATGCTTTGCATCTGCACATCTATGATGAGATGGGATACGCAAGAGGAGCCCCTTGAGGAAGAGAGTCCCAAGGACCCAACAGCCTTCTGCACACTGAGTTTACAAGACAAGAAAGCAGATTTCGACACTTCAGAGAGGCTGTCTGACAAAACTTGAAGCCTACTGGGTTCTTATTAGTTGGAAAATTCAATTGATTAAAGAAAAAAGCTCATTACAAAAGTAAATTGTTCGCCAGGCGCAGTGGCTCACGCCTGTAAGCCCAGCACTTTGGGAGGCCGAGGCGGGCGGATCACCTAAGTTCAGGAGCTCAAGACCAGCCTGGCCAACATGGTGAAACCCCATCTCTACTAATAATATAAAAATAAGCCTGTAATCCCAGCCACTCAGGAGGCTGAGGCAGGAGAATCGCTTGAATCAGTGAGGCAGAGGTTGCAGTGAGCCGAGATCACGCCATTGCACTCCAGCCTGGGCGACAAGAGCAAAACTCCATCTCAAAAACAAAAGGAAATTTTTTCAAACTGAAAAAACTTTGTCCTAGGCCTTCTGATTAATTAACTATAATCAAAAGAAAATCCAGAGACAGAAACAGCTCAGGCTTCATTCAGATCACACCCCCAACAAGCCTGAAACACAAACAGGCGACCCAATCTCCACCTGGCAAGAGGTTTAAGTATGAACTCGCTGGAAAAGGTTCCTCTTTTCCATCTTCACTCAGCTAATGTTGGTGATAAAAGCACTGCTGCTGTGCTAGTTTTATGGAGGGATGAGCTGAGCTTTGGTACATGTAAACCTGGGCAGAGCACTCAATGCCCAGCGTCTGCACAGTTCCATGCTACACTGAAGGCAGCCCGCGACAGGGCCTTACTACATCCATGCATGGCTGTTTCTTTAAGACAAAGAAATGCTTATCGAGCCCAGCCTTCAGGAGGATACTGGGTGGTCTTCTGGGACTGAAAACAGGATGCTAGGGCCCCAGCCACATCCGCACCTGGTCCGGCAGCTGGGAGAAGCCCAGCCCATAGCTGCAGCACAGAGCATCTCCTCTAATGGAGGCACCCACCCAGGCCTCCAAGGCACCGGATCTCAGCCTCGGGGCTTCATCCTCCAGGTGGCACCAAAAGGAAGGGGCGTTAAGACACCTCCACAACCAACACAGAGCTGAGGGGAGGAACGGGTGCCCCGGAAGGGAAAAGCCAGAGGCAGGTGTGAGGTCAAAGCACGCCTGGCACTCACTGGCTTCTCAATGAGGTCGATGCAGGGCTGCAGGTCGAGGCCGAAGTCGATGAAGTTCCACTCGATGCCCTCGCGCTGGTACTCCTCCTGCTCCAGGATGAACATGGTGTGGTTGAAGAGCTGCTGCAGCTTCTCATTGGTGTAATTGATGCACAGCTGCTCAAAGGAGTTCAGCTGCAAGGAGAGAACACAATGTCAGAGAGACGCCAATCCTGCACTAAGAGGCCCAGACACCCCTTGAGAGGGAGGGCAGGGTAGGGATCCAGGAAGGGCCTCCTTGGGCACCTCCATGCTGCTGCCTTTAGAGCCTGGATGCTCCTGGCCTTCCCTTTATCCACCCAGCAGTGGGCGACATTTACTCTTTGGAGCCGGGAACCGCGGGCAGTCTGGTAAAGCCTTTTCAGAATAGTGCTTTAAATTGCATCCCATAGATTACAAATAAAGTAGTTAGGTTGAACTATAAACATCAAAATATTGTGATCGCGTAATACATTATGCTTCCTTGTTTTTTATTTTTATTTTTTATTTTTTGAGACAGAGTCTCATTCTGTCACCCAGGCTGGAATACAATGGTGCAAACTCAGCTCACTGCAGCCTCTGCTTCCTGGACTCAAGTGATCCTCCCAGCTTAGCCTCCCTAGTAGCTGGGGTCCAGGCACACACTACCGTACATGGCTAATATTCGTATTTTTTGTAGAAATGGGGTTTCAACGTGTTGCTCGGGGTTGGTCTTGAACCCCTGAGCTCAAGCAATTCTTCTGCCTCAGCCTCTCAAAGTGCTGGGATTACAGGCGTGAGCCACTGCACCAGGCCTTTCTATGTTTTCATTGAAGAGATGGGGCCTTGCTTTGTTGCCCAGGCTGGTCTCGAACTCCTGACTTCAATTCTCTTGCCTCAGCCTTCCAAAGTGCTGGCATTACAGGCGTGAGCCACTACACCCAGCCTCTGTGCTTCCTTATTAACAAGAACTAGCCATGGGCTTAATAACTTCCAAAACTGTAAGGTAGTGATGCATAAATGACACTACCAGATCTCCGCAACAACCGGGATATGACATGAAAACATCTGATTTCTACTGGTGACAGATCACAAGCACTGCTAATACAACTGTGGTTTGTATAGTTTGTTCAATTCACAACTGGAAAAAAATACATGATTTCAATGAGACGTTAGTAAAAAATAAAGATATAATTTTCTCATCCCAGCTCCATGGCTCCTCTCAAACCTCCCATGGACTCCAGGTTAAGAACCTCTAATCTACTATAAGTATCGGTTTCCCTACTAGACCTCAAAGTCGTCACAGGCCAGGAAAATGCCTAATCCCGATGCTCAGGGAATATTTGCTGGAAGAATAAACAGGAAGCACCTGCCCAGGAAGCCTCCAAGAATGTGACCTAAAAGGTCCCATCCTCCCAGCCTGGGCAAACATGGCGAAACCCCATCCCTACAAAAAATACAAAAATTAGCCAGGTGTCATGACACATGCCTATAGTACCAGCTACTCGGGAAGCTGAGGTGGGAGGATGGCTTATGCCCGGGAGGTCGAAGCTGCAGTGAGCCATGTTCACACCACTGCACTCCAGCCTGGGTAACAGAGCAAGACCCTGCCTCAAAAAAAATAAAGAAACCAAAAGTCTCATTTCTCCAGTATTTCTGATTGAAAATGAGCACTTCTGTTTAGCTTAAAACACATCTAACTGAGCCTGGGCCACACCGTGAGGCCCTATCTCTACAAAAAATTTTAAAATTAGCTGGGAGTGGTGGTGTGTGCCTATAGTTCCAGCTACTAGGGGGCTGAGGTGGGAGGATCGGTGAAGCCCAGGAGGTAAAGGCTGCAGTGAGCTATGACTGTACCTCTGTACTCTAGCCTGAGTGACAAAACGAGACCCTGTCTTTTTTTTTTTTTTTTTTTTGAGATAGAGAGTTTTACTCTTATTGCCCAGGCTGTAGTGCAACGGTGCGATCTCAGCTCCCTGCAACCTCCGCCTCCCGGGTTCAAGCAATTCTCCTGCCTCAGCCTCCTGAGTAGCTGGCATTACAGGCATGCACCACCATGCCCAGCTAACGTATTTTTAGTAGACACAAGGTTTCTCCATGTTGGTCAGGCTGTTCTCAAACTCCCGACCTCAGGTGATCTGCCGGCCTCAGTCTCCCTAAGTGTTGGGATTATGAGCAACCATGCCCAGCCAAGACCCTGTCTTTTAAAAAAGAAAAAAAAAAAAAAAAAACCACACCGAACCAAAGTCTCCATGCAAACGAGATGGCCAACTCCGATCGGTGCGGGACCATGAGAAGCAGGGTTCTTAGCCAAGGAGAAGGCAACCAAGAGGCCAAGAAGGCAGCGGGGTGGGTAATGAAGGGCGAGGCTCACATCAAAGATCTCGAAGCCAGCGATGTCCAGGATCCCGATGAAGGAGGCGCCCTGCCTCTTGGTCTTGTCCAAAGCCTTGTTGATGCGCAGCACCAGCCAGCGGAACATCCGCTCGTAGGTCGCCTTGGCCAAGGCTTCGATGGCAAAGTCAGCCTGCGGGGCACACCGGGGGAGCGTGGCATCAGATACAAAGAATCTGAAAACCCTCATACCCTTTGCCCCAGTAATTTTAGAGTCCTCCCCCTAGAGGAACAGCCCTAAGTATGTGGGGGGAAAAAAAAGTCTTTCATGTACAAATACGTTCACTGTGGTGTTATTTAAAATGTTGAAAAGTAGAAACAACCTAATATCTAACGATATGGGGACAATAAACTTAGATCTTTCCAAATAAAATGGGGACACATTAAAGGATTTATAGAAGAAGTGATGCTTCAAAATAAGGCAGCGGTCTACGGTCATACCACCCTAAACGCGCCCGATCTCATCAACATAAAGCAGTGGGCAGAGGGGGCAGAGGGAGATAAGACAAACGATGAGCCGAGACTCGCCGTGAGTTAGTAACTGCTGAAGCCGCCTACGTGATGGGCACGTGAGGCTCTTTACACTCTCCCCCTTCTCTGTTTTGCACATGTTTGAAAAGCTCTGTAATTAAAAGCCAGAACAAGAACTAAGTTTAACTCTTTTTTTTTAAGTCTTGTAGGAAATAGCTGCCCAACGATATTCATCACGGGGAATTGTTTTCCTTCTCTCGATTTTTCTGTATTAAGAGTCATGTAGTATTTTTGTAATAGAAAATGGAGGTTTCTCCTTAATTGTCAGGGAAATGAACAGGTGGCAATAGTAAAACGCGATGTCTTATGAAAACGGTCTTGTCTTTCATGCAATGCTTCTGCACAGAAACAGCCGTGAGCTGTCAGTGTACGGCGAATGGGAGAAGGACTAACAAAATGAGCTTCCAAGTATCTTTGAGAGATGGGTTTGGCACCCTAAAAACAACCCTGGCCAGCACCATAAAGAAACTAGAAACCCCTGAGAGAGGCAGAAAACGGTCCGCACGGGGAGGGACGTCCACTCTGGGGGCAGGCAGGCACATCAGTCTGGCAGGAAGGAGCAAGCACTGCTGCTCATCTCTCAGCACATGTGGCAAGCCCAAGGCAGCAGGTGGTAGAGAAACAGCCGCTTGGCACAGGCTTGAGGACGGCGGGAGCCGCCACCCTGGCACCAGAAGGAGTTGAGCTACAGTGGCATCAAGTTCCTGCTTCACACCAGAGAGGACATGCCTATATCCTTGATGACCAATCAGCCAAAATACCGTCTCAATGTAAAGAGGCACAGTGCAGCCTCAGGATGGCACTTCCTAGGCATGAAGCCTGGGCGCACCATGAAGCTTCTCCAGTGCTCTAGATGGAGTGATGCCACCTCTCTCAGGGTTGCTGTGACGACTGCATCAGGGAGTCATGAGAAAGTGCCTGACATGCCTGACATGGACACCCCAGGATGGCCCGGAACAGCCTCAACTGTGCTGCTGCAGGGACATTCACCCAGGAGGCAGCGGCTGCCCTGGCCCCAGAGGACATACCTGCTCTTTAGTCTGCGCCTTCTGGACGTAATCCCGTCCCACCTTGATGCGCGGGGTGAGGATTCCTCTGGTGAAATCGGTCACATTGATACCCAAGAGATGGGACACCTTTTGGGCAGCTACAATTTTTCAGAGAATAAGGGAGGGACAAAAAGTCCTAATTAGACCCAAGAGAATAAGTCCCTCTGCTTGACCTGGGAGCAGAGAGGAAGAAAGCCACGGGGTGAATGAGCAACTGTTATCAGGACAACCGCATCTGGGCCCTTCTTTAGCAGGGCCACCGACACCCAACACCCCCCCGACTCGGCAGCCGCATGCAGGTCAGTGGGCAGGGCAGCTGTACTTCCCCCACGGGGCAGGGAGGAAGGCATCCTGACTGGAGGCCCCAGTGGCGACAGTGGTTCCTCTGTCCACTCTCAGCCGCACACCTTGGAGTGCAAAAGCAGGTCCCTACCCACCAACGCGACTGAGGAGCAGGCCGGCCTGGTGTTGGGGCACGGAACAGCACAGGATCCCACAGGAGTGTCTTTTTTTGTTTGTTTTTTGAGACGGAGTCTTGCTCTTGTTGCCCAGGCTGGAGTGCAGTGGCTCGATCTCAGCTCACTGCAACCCCCACCTCCCGGCTTCAAGCAATTCTCCTGCCTCAGCCTCCCGAGTAGCTGGGATTACAGGCGCACGCCACCATGCCTGGCTAATTTTTGTATTTTTAATAGAGATGGGGTTTCACCATGTTGGCCAGGCTGGTCTCTAACTCCTGACCTTGTGATCTGCCTGCCTTAGCCTCCCAAAGTGCTGGGATTACCGGCGTGAGCCACCGCGCCAGGCCAGCAGTGTCTTTTACAATCCACACACCCATGCGTTACATCTTTAGAGAGACCCTAAGGAAGGCACGTTAAGACTGAATAACTTGTATGGGGTCATTTGCTGCAACCCTAACAAAGGGGATGAGTCGGGTGCGGCAAACACATAATTTCAAGATCCTGACATAGTCACAGGCAAGGCTCCCATTCAGGTGGAGCTACGGCAGAAATCATTAGTGTCCTGACAAACGGTTTGGTCTCAGGAATGAATGAGGGAAGCCCTGGTCCACGTGATCACAAGTTGAAGTTATTCTGAAACGCTTACTTGGTGAGAAAAAAAGCAGGGTCGTGCTGACGTATGTTTTATATCTGTATAGAAAATACCGACAGATATACGGCCATAAACACACCTAACATTAGAAAGAACGGTGTCCGGAATTTCCGCATGACCTTCCCTCCTGGGCAAATCCACAGCCAAGCACCTGCCCCGTTATTTCCGGCGAGAGGCCCCGGGTGTTACCTGTGTTGTCGGGCATGGACGCCTGGTCAGTGTTCCGCTCCTTCTTGAAGACGATGTTGCCGAGCTGAAGAACCCCTGAGATGACCCGCAGCAGGCCTTTGGGCGCAATCAGAGGCGGCTCAGAAGCACACATGGGTCATGGTGATTCCCGGGGGTGGGGGTCATTCGCCCAGGAATCCTCAAGCGAGACAAGCCAAGCAGGGACACCCCCCAACTCCCTGGGGCCACAGGGGCGCCAGGTCTGGGTCTAACAGTGTGTGGTGGGCCCAGCCACCCTAGAGGGCTCACCCGCTCCCGGCCAGCATGGCCTGTCCACACTGCCATTCATGCCGGGCTTCCCCGGCACACAGCACCCACCCATCCCCAGCTTCTCCCACACTCCCCGAGACAGTACATGAATATTCTACTTTCAGCAAATGGCAAGGGCTGTGCAGTGGACCCGGGCCCTGGGCAGTTAAGGACATGTCCTTTGCACCTTTTCTGTGTAAATGCCTGGGGTACCACCAGGAACAAATAACCCTGAACCTCAAATCTGAGGAACCATTTTCCCACACACTGCAGGCCTTCCCCTCCCCCTGGCCTCTAGCAGGCTCCCCAGGCCCATCGGCTGCCCTGATGCCCCTGAGAGCATGGGTACCAGCCTTCCCCTACTCCACCCTGCCCCACAGGAAGGCCAGCCCTGTACCCATTTGCTCCTCTTCTGGGATGCCCATAATCCTCATGGCCTCCATGGTCTCCTGGAACATGTCCTTGTCCTGCTGCCCGGGAATGGTGACGTGCCCATTGGACAGGAAGCGGTATTTGTTGTATGGTTCCAACAGGAGATCGGCTGTAAGGGGTGGAGGGCAAGGGCGCCTCAGCGAGGTGCTGAAAGCAGAGGCTTCATCAGCGCTGTGACCTCGAAGGTTGGAGGGACCGGGACAGACCCTGAGCCCTGACGCGCCCTGAAAACCGCAGAGTAGCCAGCGACGTTCAGCTTTCCTCAGTGTCTGAGACTCTGACACTCACATCTCCTGGCCCAGAAGAGCGCCAGGGCCCTGTGATTTGCAGCTACATGTGCAACCCACCCTAGCTTTTCTCTGGCATGGTCAGAAACAGAAGACCAAGTCCTTAGGATGGCGCAGAGAACAGGAGTCACTCTCACTTCTCCCCACTAAACCCAAGGCCAAAAGTTTTCATTTCCCAAATGATGTCTATAGCCCAATTCTGGCAACAGGCCCAGAGCCTGGCAGCCCCGGTGTCAGGCTGCAGACTGACTACTCACTCTTCAGGTGCTCTCCAGCCCCAGACAGGAGATAATAGAAGATGTGGAAGGTCCGTTCTTCCTTGGCTTGGCGGATAGCACGAGATTTCTCCAAAAGATCTTTGTAAACATTAAGGAAGCAACACAAGGCGGGGGGAAGGCAAGCCCTCCACTGTTCTCTTTTTTTTTTTGGAGACAGAATCTCACTCTGTTGCCCAGGCTGGAGTGCAGTAGCACGATCTCGGTGGAGGATCACTCCGCCTCCTGGATTCAAGTGATTCTCCTGCCTCAGCCTCCCAAGTTGCTGGGATGACAGACGCGTGCCACCACACCTGGCTAATTTTGGTATTTTTAGTAGAGACAGGGTTTTGCCATGTTGGCCAGGCTGGTCTTGAACTCCCGACCTCAGGTGATCCACCCGCCTTAGCCTCCCAAAGTGTTGGAATTACAGGCGTGAGCCACTGTGCCGGGCCAGCCTTCCATTGTCCTCTTATTCTCGTCCAAAGGAACTGAACTTCACAAGGAAGGAAGAATGGCACAAAACAGCAAAACACAGCAAAAGCAAACTACCTGGGTTCTCACCTTCAAGGGTCATGCTGTGTCCGAGAGGAGCTCACACCCTCGGGAGCCTTGTCTCATTCTTACAGGTAATGGGAACGAGAACATTCCCACATGCAAAGGCTAAACGCTGGCACGCGGGAGAGATAAAGTAGCATCCCCCAAACGCCCACCTCTGGGAGCCACACTAGACGGCTTTCAACAGCTCCATCCCATTCAAGCAGGTGGTTATCCTGCCCGTAAAGAAAGCAAGCCCTAAGCTCTGTGTTGAGTTTGCACTGAGCCGATCCTGAATGTCCCCCCAGCTCCACAGACAAGGTGTCATAACAGGCCCACAGGGGGAAAGTGCTGGAATCAGGAGGCAGCGTCTTCTCTACAGAGGTCACGCCTCCCCTCCGGATCCAGAACTCTTATCCCCAAGAACCACAAGGATACAAGTCTCAATGTTGGCTCCAACAATGTAGCCGTTGACATCAAAGTTGATGCGAATGAATTTACCCTAAGTAAAAAAAGATAGCAAGAGATCAGGGGTGCCCCTGACATGGGGAGCTAGAGAGCAAGGGGGAGACCAGAGGCCCCCGCCCCCGCTCCGGTGGGCACAGCTTGGAGGGAGAAAACCCAGAGACAGGACCCATGTGCCAGGCCAGGGGCTCCCTATGCCCGCACCGCACGGGCCCTCAGGACTCAGGCGCCACACTGCCTGAGGCCACGAGCCTAAGACAAGCCGATCCCACGCCCAGGTTCCTCGCAGATGGGGAAAGAGACCAGTTATCTGGAAGTGTTCCTCTCTGCCTGACCCGGGAACTAACTGGCTACTGGTGACAGCAGAGCACTCTGGGGCAGAGTAGGCAGTGCCCTCACTGGCCTTTCCACCTCTCATGGGGGAGGCTGAAGAAGCTACTCGTGGCCTTCTTTCTTAAGAGGGGCAGGGCAGGTCCACACCAGCTGGCATTCGGTCCGCCCTAGTCCACACAACAGGCCAGATAGCACTGAGTCTGAACCGTCCTCGGTTTTGAGGGGAGCGCACCCAGGAGAAGGCAGCATGAGCCAAAGCTCCGGGCAGGGCCCTCTGTCCCCAGAGCCGGGCGCCACTGCGCTACTCACGAAGCGGGAAGAGTTGTCATTCTTCACGGTCTTGGCGTTCCCGAAGGCCTCCAGGATGGGGTTGGCCTGCAGCAGCTGCCGCTCCAGCTCACCCTGCAAGGAACCCAGGGGCACAGTGAAGGCCGGGCAGCGACCTGGGCTACCGAGCCTGCCCTGCCTGGAAGGGGGACGATGGCAGAGCCGTGTCAGCATGTCCAACATGCCAGGAACACAGGTTTCCGGGTGGGCGCCAGTGTGCCACTCCAGCCAAAGCCAGGTCCCGGTATCACCCAAGTGTGGCCTTCCCGCCAGGCTTTGGAAACCTTGGTCAGTTTGAACTTACTTCCGTGGCCCTGGAAACGGCAGGCAGGAAGCTCCCTCAGCTCTAGGAATCTGGCCCTGGAGGACCTATGTGAAAGCAGCACCCAAACTAGCGAGCTGGCGGCACAGACACCCTGGGACAGTGTCTCCACCCTGTATACACCAGCTTCCCTCTACCTCCTTGCCTCTAATCTTCACATTTTTATTCCTTTTCATAGGAAAAGCAAATGAGGGGATTGGATCTGGAAAATATACACGCTCATCTAATCTGTGTCCTGATAAATGCTTCACTTTCTGTATCAGCCCCTCCACTGCTGCACCCAAAACCCACCACGGCAGGCAGTGAGCACGGGATCCATGAGGCCCACTTTGGGCTGCAAGCTGTTTACTGAGAATGTCACTAAATCCTGCTGTGGACTCCAGGGGTGCTTTGTGGTAGACAAAATGCAACCTTGTGCCTTCTTATCCCTACACCCTCACCATACTCAGGGGGCAGGACAGAGCGGCCCCATTTCACAGAAGAGGAAGCTGAGGCCAAGGGAGAGGAATGACGTGCTCAAGGTCATCCAGCTGTCAATCAGCAGAGCGGGCTGGCAGAACTCCAGTTCCCTACCTAACCCGTCAGCCACTGCCCTGTCTTCGCACCTGTGCAGCAGGCCCATGCAACCAGGGAATAACTAATGCTGACTGAGGAAACTAGGGAGCTGGTTCCCCTTAATGCCTGAGTGCCCTCTGGGGGAAAGAACATCACACAAGGGCCAGGCCAGGCTTTGTATTTATTAAAGACTGGAGTCAAGCCAGGGTTTTCCGGGAACAGCAGCCGCCTGTGAGTGATGACAAGGAAAACTGGAATAGGAGCTCCCAGGACAGCCACGGACCCTGGCCTTACAAGCACACCTGCCATAGATGAGACTCATCTGCAGAGCACTGGGGACACTCTGGAGTCTAGCCAAGCCAGACTGGAAGCCCACCTGAGACCACAAGGGACAGAGCAGAGCCTCCTCCTCTGGCAGTCCTCCTAGGCCAGGACCCCCCAACCCAGGGCTAGGAAGCCTTATACTTGTGAACCATCTAGACAAGTGAGGGCATTGCTCTGACCGCCCCTGAAGGAGGGTCAGCGGGGCCAGGTCAGAGGGCAGGGGTCAAGCCCACAGAGCAGGCTCTACATGTGCGCTGGGCACCAGGGGTAACTGGACACCGGGTTTCCACCCACAGGCCTCGGGCGGGCCTAGGAAGTCGGCTGAGGCAGCCCACGGAGCCAGATTTGGATGAGAATGGCTCCCCCACCCACTACGCCGTTCCTCTCACAGCACAGGCCAGGCTGCCAGGCTGCCAGGCTGCCAGGCTGGCTGAACCGCTCCCGTTCCCGCAGACAGAAGGGAGCGCGGCCCCCTCCAGGGCCTGTGCTTGCCCTGGCTTGGAGGCGAACTGAGGCCTCTGTTTGGGACCACACGCTGTTGCCGTGGAAAGTGGGGCCGCGGGGCCAAGTCGGGAGCAGTCACTTCAGATTCCAGAGCCGTGTTCCCTGCTGACAACAGTGATGACTAACCTATGGCTTTTCCTCTACTGACATCTAATTGGGCACAGAAGAGATTTTAATTTTTCAGTGAAATCTGCATAACATGAAGTGATGCGGTACTGTCTAAGGTTAGGGGTTACCCATTGGTTTCTGAAGGGCTTCACTGGGTGGTGTTTCTGCCAGTGAGCCCCAACAAGTACACAAATAACAGACCAGGGAGAGGCAAAGGTCACCATTTAGGCTCCGGCATCTGCCCGGAAAGCTCCTTGGACCAAGCTCTGCTTTGCCAACCCGCAGCCCAGGCCAAACCTGGCCTCCCCACAGCAAGGTGAGGTCTGGAACAACCCCTCTGCTGGTGTTGGGAGGGTCAACTTGGCCACTGCAAGCGAGAGACTGCTGGCTCCCAAACCAAGTTCAAGGGTGTTCCATGCTCCGGCTGCCTGTGGAAAATCACAGCACAGCTTCAGGCAAGGAAATCAACCAAACCGGCCAATGGCCTTTCACACTAACAGCCTGAGCTGTGACTGGAACCCTGGGGCAACCTATTCCCTCACTCTAGTGGGCTCAGGGCAGGGACAGGGTGCCTAGCAAAGTCTGCATTTTGACAGCGTGGCTCCCACTGTCACCCCCAACCCCAGCCTGCTGTCTTTGCTGAGTGCTGCCTTCCCCTCTACAACAGGAACCCCCGATGTAAGGCATATGAGCTATTTCACTGCTCTCTGTGTCCTGTCTCCTGTCTTCCAGGACAGGGACTCCAATGTCACCCTCCCAAGAACCAGTCATGTACTAGGCAGTCAATAAATACTTGGGGAAAGGATTTTACTGCAAATTCGGAGATGGAAAACCACGGCTAGAGAACTCCTAACCTCACAGCTTTGTTTTTAAAATAGGCCTCCTAAAAAGAATGCAAAATGGGGGGTAGGGGAGGGAGACAGGGAGAGAGGGAGATACGGAGACAGAGGGAGAGGGAGAGAGAAGAAAAGAAACTTTATTAGTTTCTAAATATAACTCCTGACACCCCATGGAAAAAGATTCCAAATGTCTTGAGAAGCTTGGCACATGAAAAGTTACTTTTGGTTGGGTTCCAGAAGACTGTACTCATTAGGCCATTCTGCAGGCCACACCCCAGACCTGCATGCAGACTCACACCCCTCCTTACTTACGAACGCCGCACACGGCACGCCAGTAAGGTGGAGCCACCGCTGGGAGCGACCAAGCTCCCCCTGACGGCTTCAAGGAACACCACTGGCACTTAGGTTTCACAGGGGAGTTTAAGAGTGTGTTTGAGAGATAGCATCCCACAGCCATGCTTGTCTGATCACCCCAACCTCTGAAAAACTCCAACATGAGAACTCCCCAGCACTGCTTCTGACTGGCACGGCGGTGGCAGGCGAGGGCCGCCGGCCATCTGCATCTGGTCTGGACCACAGGGCATGGAGGGCTCCGTGAGAGCGGAGTCCCCGTCCACCGTGCCGGGGTCAAGTTCTGCATGGGACATGACAGCTATAGTGCGCTGTGGGGAAATCTGGGCATGACTGGAGTTTCTGAGAACTAGGTGTGAGGCCCATCTCCATTCTGCAGGAACTGTCACTTCAGAGTGCACAGGAGGTCACTGTGTGCCACACCCAGCCCCTCCTCCCAAGACAGTCAGTGAGCTGAGCCTAAAAGAAGAGTTCTAGCTGCAGAAAGTGACAAGTGTGGGGTGAAAAGCTGCTTAGAACAAAATACAGAATTCAAGGGCACACGATGGGCAGAACACGCATTCCCAGTGCAGAACGTGCAGTAAACGTGCAGCTCACCTAGCGAGGACGCTGCTGGTTCAACCATAATCCATCAAAAGGGAGAGGAAAAAAATGGAGGTGAGATGACTTTCCAATTGCCCTTTCTCTCTTCGCTGGGGTGGTGGGGTTGGGTGGCTGTCTGCCCAGAGGCATTTTTTTTTTTTTTTTTGAGACGGGGTCTCACTCTGTCACCCAGGCTGGAGTGCAATGGCGTGATCTCGGCTCACTGCAAGCTCCGCCTCCCGGGTTCACGCCATTCTCCTGCCTCAGCCTCCCGAGTAGCTGGGACTACAGGCGCCTGCCACCTCGCCCGGCTAGTTTTTTGTATTTTTAGTAGAGACGGGGTTTCACCATGTTGGCCAGGATGGTGATCCGCCCACCTCGGCCTCCCAAAGTGCTGGGATTACAGGTGTGAGCCACCGCGCCCGGCCCACCCAGAGGCATTTCAACATCAGGGGAAAGAAATGGATTCAAACACAGCCTCCATCAACTTGAGGACCAAGTCTTGGAATCTGCCTTCCAGCCTCAGAAGCGGGGGGACACACAGCAATGAGCTGCAAACGCCAAGAGGGCTGCTACGCAAACTCCAGGACCTCACCAGTTTCCACAGCAACTCAGAAGGCTAGGAGGCCAAGGACAGAATGGGCTTGCTATCGCCGGACCACTCCCAGGACAGGCCACGCCGTCGCCTCAATGGAAATGGGCCCAGCCTCTGCTTCATTTCCCAAAGCATCCTCATGTAAAGCTGAAGCCACGACCACTAAGTGCTCTTCCTCCATCATCCCACCAAGGCCCAGCAAGCGGCCGCGGGGACGAGGACCACAGTGCTCACCTGGTCCTTCTTGCTCTTGTGCGAGGACGCCACGTACGCCAGATACTGGATGACCTTCTTGGTGTTCTCTGTCTTGCCAGCTCCAGATTCACCCCTACCAAGAGAGGCAAGGAAGTCTCGGGCTTAGGCATGGCCAAGTCCTTGACCTCTGTCCCTTCCCACTGCACACTCCACTGCCTCACATTCTGTCAGGTGCCCATGAAGGACCCAACGTGTGGCAGAAAAAGGAATTGCCACATAAACGCTCTGGAATCCTCATGCAGTCCACTTCCCATGGCTCTCCAGGGGCCGGATAGAAGTAAACTGAAATCCACTGCCTGCCCTGGTCACTTGGCAGCCTTCACATCCAAGTGTTTTAAAAATCAGTTTTAGGCAGCTGTGGACTTAGGGGTCAAAGGCACTTGTACATGTTCCTTTGAAACGTCACTCGAAGGAACGTTCTGTGCCATTAACTCTCTCGGCAATGGGGTTTATGGATCTCCTTGTTAAGTTCAGAAGGTGAGAGGCCCCAGTGTCTACTTCAATCCAGGTAAAGAAAAGCCACCATCCAGAGCAAGAAGGAATGCCTTCCGCCCAGAAGTTACGGAGGAGCTGGTTCCCAGCCGGATTGGGGGGAAATCTTGCTTTTCCTTTCTGCCATAAGCGCCACCCTCCTTCCCACTGGCTCCTGGAGGAAGGATGATTCAGACTGAACTCATCCATGCGGTGGGATCGCTGAGTAGCAAACATACAAACTGAAGTCCTGTCCCATGGAGAAGCGGAGGAGGGGGCCTTGACTTGGGGATCGGGGACTCCACCACCCTCAGCTGTGGTTTCGGTAGGAGTCCTCAAGAATGAGAACAGATTGGGGTGAAACGAACCACTACCCAGACGGAGAAATACTTACGTGCACAGGATGGATTGATCTTCTCGGTCTGAAACAAAGGAGACATCAGATTAACTCCCACCAGATACAAAAGCCTCCCCCGCTTGCTCCCGAAGAGCTGCCCATTGCCCAGACGGAGTACAGTGCCGCAGATGCTGTCTTTGCGGGGATCTCGCAGCCCACCCTCACACCTGGCTGGGAGGAGCATTTGCGGGGGAGAGTGCCATTGGGCAGCTGCTCCTGCCATCCAGGAGCTCAGACTGCCCACCCACACTGTCCAGCCCCCACCAGAAAACCAGAAATAGTTCTGCGTCTCCCACCTTAGAGGAACGAGTGTGTGGAAAGCTCTCCAGGAGTCGACTTTCCTGGGAGCTGAGTGGGACCTGCCCTGTGTGTTTACAACTGGGGGCTGAGATGGTTAGAAATAAGCCCACTGCAGGTGCTCTATATACCACCCCCACTGAAGGAAGGAGCACTGTTGAAGAGGTTGGAGGAGGAGGGGTGATGAGGCCTGGCTTTGCAACGGGACAGCCCTGAGATAAGATGCCGCCTCACAGCCTGAGACCCGGGACAGGTGCGCAGGCTTCTCGGAGCCCCAGCTCCCTCCTCCGCAGCGTGGGATAACAGTACTTGTGTCCACAAGACATGTGAACGTACCAGCATGGCGTCTGGCAAGTGGAAGGCGTGCAATGATGTCACTTTAGAGGTAGCTTGTAAAGAATGACAGCTTCTGATGGGTTTCTGTGACAACCTGTTCTCTAGCCGGGTGTCAGGAACTTTCAGCAACTATCAACAGCTCTATGAACTGCTCAGCAGGAAGGTTATAAATACCCACCCTCCCCCGGCACAGGAGGGGCAGTAATGCCCACACTCTGAAAGCTAAGTCTGCCAGAAACACGAAGGCATCCTGGCTGTTCAGTACTGCATATTCAATCTTAAGCAACAGCTGAAGATACAAACTCATTTCTTTCCGTTTTATCCCACCCCATCTAATGGCCTCACCGTCCTTGAAGTCAAATTGGCCTGAATCCTGCATCAGGCTACTTACAAATATTTGAGCTGCAGTAAGGTATTTAATTCTGAGTCTCAGTTTCTACATCCACAAAGTAGATCTGCTACTAACTCCCTTGCAGGATTAGTTGGAAAAATAGAAATAACACATAAAAAGGACCTGCCGCAGTCCCTGTAAAGAGAGTAAGCTCCACAAATGGTTGCTGTCTATGCTGACTTCCCCACGGCGACGTCGCCACGATGGGTGGCAGTGGTGTTGTCGGGGCAGCGGGAGCATCCGTGGCTGTTGGTACAGTGTCGGCACTGAGTGGAAACACGGATTCAGCGACGTGTGAAGGACACACTGAGTGGCTTGCACCGCCTGGTCAGGGCCCTGCATGACCAGGCACTGGGAGAATGACTCATGGCTTTCCACACGCATGGCCTCAGGAGACACATTTAACCGTTCAACACCAGCCGACACCGACCCGCTAGGCTGCCTGCCTCTTCCGAGGTGAGCTTTCTAGCGTGCCTGACCTCAGCAGCTGGTGGGGCTGGGCACTGCCTCCAATCTCTTCTTCTGCCCGCTGGTCATTCAGGAGGGCAAAGGAAGCCCAGACAGAAAGAAGAAAAAACAAACCTCACACCCAACACCAAAGGCAGTACCCCTCGGCGGCAGCTTCCTCCCAGCCCCCTAAGCATCAACGGGGTGGGGGCGCAGAGGGGCTGGGTCACTCCCATTCACAAACACACCCCACACTCTGCTCTCTGATGTGGAAACTGCTCAGGAGACAAGCTCGAGGGGGGCCTTACTCCCCCTCGCCTGTCTCAAAAAACACAGAGTCCTTCAAGCCTGCACAGCAAGGACAGAGATTAGAGACCTGCATCCTTGACAAGACAGACGGGAAGACAGAAGGGAGGGAGGCGGCAGGAACGACAGCCTGGGGAAGACAGAGCAATTTCATCGCTGGCCCCTAACAATAGTGTGGCAACCGATAAGGGTTTGGAACAAACATTTCTGTCGTCCCAGCCCCTTGCCCTCCCCCACTGCGTCTCCCTGTGGTCTGCCCCAGCTGTGGGCATGTTTAGTCACCGGCTCTGCTAGCAGGCAAGAATGTACCTGCGAGTGCTGGCAAGTCGTGAGCAGCAACGGCCCAATGCTACCATAAAAGGAAACATTCCCCAACCCTTCCAGAGGAACCGTTTTCCCAGGGCTGTCCCTAGGATGGCTGGAATTCCTCTAATTGTGTGAGGAGGAGTCAGAGGCTCCGCTGCTAAACAACAGGAAGCAGAGCCCCCAAGCACACTCAAGGGCATGCACACACAGGCACATGCACGCACAAGGACACGGACGCACACACAGACACACAAGCATCTGTGCATACACAGTCACATATGGAGACAGGTGTACAGAGGGACGTGTGCACAGAAATACATGCGTGCACACGTGTGCAAAGCCATATACATAGATCCACACATGGGCGCACACAAGGCACACAGCTGCACACGCATTCACAGACGCATATCCACAAGCACAAGTGCAAACACAGGCACCCAAGGCACATGTATTCACAGGTGAATGTGAACATACATGTATGTACATAGCCATGCACACACACGGACGTATGCACAGGCACACGCACTTCAACTCCCGAAACCCCAGTGCCAAACTCAGTGTCTCCTCTCCATCCACCCCAGCATCCCCAGCTCTCCCACTTCTCCAGCCTTCCCCCTCCAATTCCTGAAGCCAGTTTACCACTGTCAACACAGCCTAACCATCCCTTAAAGAAATCTGGATTTGTTCTGCCAGGAACATTCATTTGGACAAATGCTTTCTGAAAGGCAAACGACTGGGAGGCCTCCCCATTGCTTCACCTCTTGCCGCACTGCTTAGTATCCCAAATCCACCTGCCCTATGCACCACGAATCGTACCATGGCCCCATGCAACCGGAAAAGTCTTTCCAGTGCTCAGGAAGGGTTTTGGTCTGTTATCTTGTGTGGCCTCCAATAACCTTACAAGGTATTGTATTGTAATGTACAAAGCAGGTATTATCGTCACTGTTTTGCAATCTTTCCACACAGCGGTTCTTCTGGATTTGTTCCTGATCTCAGAGGCATCTCCTCTGGGCAGTGGGGTGGTTAGAATTTTTAGCAACCAGTGGGCTCTTGACCTGACTCAGTTTACTCTGCAGCCCACCTCCCCACCCTGTGCATTCTGGTGGAGACCGCCAGTGGCGCCCACCCCATCAACCCTTCCCCGCACTGTCATCTCACAGGATGAGCACATTCAGAGTCCGGCCCAACCCGCTTGTTTTGGCTCAAGTCCTTATTTGGCCTGTAAGGACTGAAGGCTTATTTGAAAACGCCCTTCCTTCCTCTACACGGGAGGAGGCCGCCAGGGACAAGCCTCTTCTGGGACACGAGCCCCCCTGCCAGATGAAAGTCTAGCCGTGGTAGGCGCCTGAACCCCCTGCCCCAGCCCCTCTCTTGGTGAGGGTGGGGTACAGACTGGGTCATGAGTCACTCTGCAGTAGTTTTCAGACTTTTCAAAAAGCAGTGGCAGTCCTTCCTCAGACAAAATCTTCCCAAATCCCTGAGCAAGGGACAGTGGGTGGTGGAGACTGTGTTCCTCAGAGCACAGTTTGACAACCACTGGTCCATGTGTCTGGAGCAGCTCTGCAAAGGAGGAAGCCACAGCCGAGAGTGCTACGGCCCTGGGTTCTGCTCTTCCCCACGCAGTGCCTGGCCCCTCGACCTCTCTGGGAATGAAGGGACTGCTCTGACGATGGAAGGAAATGGTGTTCCTGTCATACACGGTGTGAGGCAGGCGCCCAGACATGCTGTCCTCACCCGCCTGCTGTCTCGGAGCTCCCAACTGAGCAATTCCTTGGCACCGCCACAAGTAAGTCTGTTATAAAAGTTACAAATTCAGGAACCAGGCCATTTTCTCCCTGGATTTCATTTTAAACCTGAAATGTCCTGAGGCCAAGCCCATGCAGTGAAGGCACCTGAGCTGATGTGGCCATCTACCTGTGGACAAGTGTTTCCAGCCAGCTTAGCACGTTGGGCCCAGGAGGGAGGAAGCGGGAACCTGACCGCAGGTATTTCATCCCAGGTGCAGACTTCTGCTGGGGGCTTAAGGCTCACTTCCTCTGTGAGAGGAGCTGCAGCTCACTCTTGTCCATAAAAGGCCACGAGGCTCACAGAGCGGTGACATCAGCCTGACAGGAAGTACAGAGGAAGGGGCCTGCTTCACCAGCAGCCACTGCTGGGACTGACTCATCACCCCGCTCCCAAGATCACACCTCCCAAGGTTCCAGCATGGAGCAGCTCTTTTGGGTTCCACCTGGGAGACACCCCATCTTCGGCTCCGCTGGGCTTCTTGAGAAATGGGTATGGGCCAAGAAAGAAAGACAGGAAAAAGGGCAGTTTCAGGTTGGACAATATGCCCACGTTGGGTGAGACTGATGGGATAATCTGAGACAAATGGGACCAAAACTTTCCACCACCAGGGAACCTTCTGCTTTCAGGGAAACTCCAGAGTGGCCCCTGGGGGTGGCTCGCTATATGTGTTGGCACTGTGAGCCCTGCCCTGTGGGGCCAGGATGGGCGTCTCAGGCTGTCCTGGGCAGAGTCCTAGACCCAGAGTCACTTCTCCCCAAGACCCTCATGTGGACAGCATCTGGGTCTCAGTTGGTCAAAGCACAAAGCACCTGTGGGGCTGAAGCTTGGAACTTAGGGGCTTGGGAAGGCCTTGTAGAGGACCTAATTCAACTTGACCCCAAGATCAGAGAATCATTCTTCTTTCCTCAGAAACCCAATGACTTGATCAGAGTTGCACAAATGGGGCTGAGAACTCAGGCCTCTGGAGGCCTCACCCACCCCCGGACTCCCCTCCATCGAATGACCCTATGGGCCCAGCACTCAGCACCTCCCGCAGGCCTGCCTCAGTGCTGCAAAGAAAGGCCCGCGACACTCTCATGACGGGAAGCTCTGCTTCTCCACAGCCAGCTCAATTCACAAGCTTGGGTTACAAGTCTTTGGGAGGCAAACAGAGA